GAGAATCAGGCGGGGGTGGGGGGGGAAGGAGGGGTATAACGAGACTGATTAGATTTCAAGGCAATTCTGGAACGTTTACCTTTACAAAATGTCTGAGGAGTCTCTCGTCGTTTCCAATTTCCAGCAGTGCACAAGTACATGTCTCTACCATGTCTCTTCTGGAAATGAAATGGAATATTTTAACAACCCCGGTGATGTGCGGCATTATAAGAATTCGTCTGCTTCGGACCCAATGTTCCGTTTAGCGCTATCTTATGCGTGTGCAAAAATTGATACCTCTTATTCTGGGTCTATTTAAAATTTACTCTTATAAGTTAAAAGGGAGCCACGAGAGCTAGATCCCGAATATTTTTGGGATGCAAACTGGGTGAACTCTCTCCCTCCTCCACACCTCAATAAACTTGCATAATACCATAGGAGCACCCCTTCCCCCCTTTCCCGCTTTTTTTACGATATCAGGAATAGAAATGCAATTCCCTTATAATTGTATTATTAAAGTCATATTTAGTTCACTGTCGTCTGTGAAAGTAAGAAAGGAATCTAAATGTAATAGATTGCATAGAGTCTGACATGTCGTATTAGAGACATTTAATAAGTATGGATAAACCGAAAGTAGGCCTATAAGCGGCAATACTAACGGGGTACTCCGATTAAGTCCATTTGAAAGAAACAAAAGAATTATCAGTTTTCTATTCTGGGCATGGCTCCAAACAAGCACTTTCTCGTTGTGCAAGCGTCAGGAGTGACCTTCTGTTTGTAAACTGGACGAACAGCGGAACAAGAAAAAAAAATCATTTTCTAGAGATACCCCTTAATTGTCTGGGAGAAGCCAGGAGTCGAACAAAGGCCCTAATTTGTATTTCAAATCTAACTCCAAATCGTCGAACTTGAGCACTATTGGATACAGCAAAGTGTTTCCTCATTTACCTAGGATGTATTCGTTTAAATAAAGACACTATAACGCGACCACACAAAGCGTACTGAACGCAGTCTGTTACACAGTTGCTTTTTTTATATTTTACGTCCCCATCGACTAAATCTAGATCATTTATGGGGCAGGCTGAGAGGAATACTACTCCCAGATGAAAGACCGAGATGCTCGATCAAAATACAGGGTGGTCTGTAAAAATCAAACAACCTACAACTTTTTTTGTAAATTATCCCCATACAGGAATCGAACCCAGGTCATCTACCTGCGGCGGCGAAGCACCTAATACCTGCACCTCAAATATGAGTGGTGGGCGGGTGATTTAGCGTGGTTTGCTCCTTCTTTCCTATCCTTGATAATATCAAACACGTATAATTATACATGATAAGCCTAATCCTTATCTCTCCTCCTTTTTTTTCTTCTTTTTTTTTGCATCCTACTCTCTAATATAATAACAACTTAAATCGTGGCTCTTAAATGGCATAGTTATGATGCAAGTGCCGAAAATAAACTCTTACTAAAACACTAATACTAAAGTAAAATACACTTCCGACTCCAGCGTTGAAAGGTTAGACAACAAGGTCACTTAAAATTAGTGACACATGTCCCTGTGACCCTAATTACCCCGCTGTGGGTAGCTGGTTCAGGAACTTGACCAACACGATGATGGCAGCGGGCGTTTCAGCACGCCAAATTTATTTCTTCTCTCTTTGGGACCTACTACGTCTAATTCTTGCTAAAGAAAGAGAAAAGCTTAAAGACGTAGGAGCAGAGTAGATCGAGTTCTTCACCTTCAAAACGACCAAAATTATGTCTTTTCATGCTTTGCACTTCAATTTATTAAAATTACATCCCAGAAAGCTTGAGTAAATACAGAAATATTGTTACCATTATTTCTCTCTGTTTGCGGGCTTTCAAATTAATTATTTTGATCACTGTTTTGCCAACCTGATTAAGCACCAAAGCAGTCTTGCCCTCAGGAGTAGGGCAGATCAGATCACATGCGAAACCACAAGTTCGAGCACTGAAGCTGCAACTCATTTCACCCATCTCTGGCTTCGGTGGTTTGAATTGACCGCACCCTGATCAGCGATGAAGAAAGCGAGAATAGTATCAATAATTTAGGCAGGAGGAAGGTTATGGGAATAGTGACTAATATTTACAGTTTTCGCTATGAACGCTTGTTATCAGCAGCTATACAATAAATATGATAGGAGAAATATCTCCTTGTATATTCTCCGGTAATGTCTGCGTAAACATTTTGCATAGTTACAAACAAACCGAATGAGAGTAGAAATAAGTATAGAAGTGTCTAGAATTAAGAAGATTACAGACCTGAGGACTATGCTACCACACAAAATTTAAAGAATCATATTATTATGAGACCGCTATTCGTTCCCACGTCTTTTCATCGCACTGGCGCGGTCATCAACGACAACGTCATCAGTCGCACAGGTGTGTGTGTGGG